AACAGTCAGGAGAGGCTCCATCTGACCACCCACAGCCCCTCGTGATGCCAGACCTTCCGAGGATCTGCTTTGTTCATCTTTGACCGTCTTTGACTCTCTTGGACAGTACCACTCATTCAATCTTCCTTTGTCAACACTGGTCAAGGTGGGACCTCCCCAAGTCATCTGAGGGTAGGCTTCAAATGCTTCAAGTAATTATTCTGGTCCGAAGATGCACTCATTTTCTCCACATGAACAGGTACGTTTTCTTCATCATCCTTGCTCCTCAGGATTCCTGAGATGGCCCATTACATATTCCTGCCCAACTAGGACACTCTGCACTGCCCCCCGGGGAAGACATAAATCATTCAGTTATAAGCACTTAGATTTAAGAAATCTTCCGGAACAAAAATAATCAAACATTATGAAGCTTCTCCCTGCCAACTTCCCCAGCCTTGTCCGTGAATCAGTTTTAGTGCCCTCACCCAATGCCAGAGAAGAGTTGTTGATAGTCCCTGCTGGAGCCAGTCTACAGAGGCTTTCACAGAGCGCCCCACCAGAGTGGGGCCACCCAATGCTTGCCCTTCCAGCGGGATGAGGAAGCAGAAATGAGATGCAAGGTGTTTGCTGGTTTGTTGAGGTTTTGATTTTTTTTTTCCATTCTTGGAAATATTTTTTTTCTTTTTCTTTTTTAATCATTTTATTGGGGCTCATACAACTCTTACCATAATCCATACGTACATCAATTGTGTAAAGCACACTTGTACATGCGTTACCCTCATCATCTTGAAAATATTTTTGAAACTCATCTTTTTGGATGGCTGATAGCACCTCCCTCATTTTTACTTCACCTCTTCTACATCGTCAAATCGCTGTCCTTCCGTGTCTCTCTTCGTTCGCAGAAACAAAAACCAGTCGCACGGGGTGAGGTCAGGAGAGGAAGTTGTGTGAGGCAAGAGAGGCATGCTTCCCCCGGCCCCCGCCCCCCAAAACTGGTGCACTGAGATGGTTGCATGAGCAAGTGCATTGTCTTGGTGGCAAAACCAGTCCCCTGTCTGCCACAAATCAGGCCTTTTTTGTTGCACACTGTTATGCAATCTTTTAAGAGAGGTTTTGATTTTTAACTAAAAAACTCAGACACCCGAGTGAATATCACCCTTTGTTAGGGTTTGAGGGGTGGAGGGAAATGGAGAATCCATAGGCCGATTTGAGTTCTCAAAACACTTGAGATTCTCAACCATTAAAGATTCTCAAAATCTTTACTGTGCCTTCTCCTCTGGATAAATTCCCTGTTGGCCAGCTCTGGTTTATTCCTTCAGGAGCAGGCTTGCTTTCTGGAGCCAGATATGTGTTGTATTGAGTTAAGTTGAATTAACCTAGGTCGCTAGATTGGAAAGCACAATTCCAAGTTAAATGAAAAACGGTGACTCATTTTAGGGTGGAAACAATAAATCCAACGTCTAGCAGAGAGTTTTTTAGCAAAGCAAAATACAAACAAACAGGCTTATTATCCGGGAGCTTGTGGTCTAGTGGAAACCATTTGTACCGCGCAGGACTTCATAACGTAGCAGGTCCTCAGTAAAATCCTGGTGGAGTGGGAGGAGGTGTGGCTCCCAGTGCTGCTCTTCCATGACTCTCACGTTTCTGTGTAGAAGGTGACACCCATGGGGGGTGGGGGGTCTCCTAAAAGAACTGAATAAGAAAAAAATTTTCCAAAAAAATGCTCAGTCTTCTAAGGGAAAGTCTCTTATGTAATGCCTGTTTGGGGCTAGTAACCTGATTGAAAACCTACAATATTCTCCTTTTTCTTCTCATGTACCATGAAGCAAGAGTTACTCATGCAGTTTCCTCTTTCTCTGACTGTATTGAAAACATGTGGATCCCCTGCTGATCACACATGGGGTCATGCACACCAAGAAACAAACAAACAAGCAAACAAACTCACTGCCCTCGCATCCATGCCGACTCATAGAGACCCTATCAGACAGGCCAGAGTTGCCCCTGTGGCTTCCAAGGGTGGAACTCTTTATGGGGTTAGAAATCCCTGTCTTTCTCCCGTGGAGGGGCTGTTGATTCTGAACTGCTGATCTTGCAGTTAGCAGCCCCACGGCCTAACCACTATGCCACCAGAGCTCCTGTAAAAATTAAATAGATGTTTACAGAATGACAGTGTTTTGAGGGAAACCAAAAAAACATCAGCGTATCTCCTGACTGCTAAGGCAACACAAGTTGGAAAGCAAGTCTCTGGGTCCAGGTGACTTTCTGCCCTAGCCAGACACATAGAATTGAGTGTGGGGCAGTAAAAAGGTAAACCTACTTGTGGAAACATACAACCGCATAACCAAAATGAAAATTTTGGCATTCTGTTTATAGAGCAGGTAAATTCAAGAAAAGAAAGCAACTTGAATTCGTAGAATGCTTATGGAGGGTCCTCAGCACTGCTCATTTTAACTGGGGTCTGAAGGTCCTGAATTGATCACAAGACACTCATCCACTCCCCTCCAATAGCTATGTGTCTTACACCACCTTAAAGACGACTCAAATCAAAACTCAACCGAACTCACTGCCACCGAGCCAATGCCAACTCGCCGTGACCCTAGAGGCCAGGGGAGAACTGCCCCTGGGGGTTTCTGTAACTCTTTCCAGGAATAGAAAGCCCCCTCATTCTCCCTCGGAGCAGCTGGTGGCTTTGAACTGCTGTCCTTGTGGATCACAGCCCAACTCATAACCACTACACCACCAGGGCTCCCAGAGACAACAAAAGCAACGAAAATAGTTCCTTACCATTTAGCTTATGTTTCCTCGTCAAAGGTCGCCTGGGGAGCTCTAGATCTGAATGTAAAAAAGTACAGGAATGAGCAGACCTGGTGCCCAAAGTTGGAGGTTTGAACTCACCCGGCTACTCCATGAGAGAAAGACCAGGTCGTGCCCCGCCGCACAGACCACAACCGGAGAAAGCCTGCCAGCCCCTCAACAGGACCAGCCCTAACAACAACGGAACGGTTACCAAGACCAGGATTTTCTAAATAATTTTAAGGTATCTGTTACTACAAAAAAGTTTTTCAAAGATCAGTTACTATACTTAGTGAATTATATCTCTTATGAGTAAACCTCACCACCCTATGACTTGGATTCGGATCTCATTTCACAAATGAAAAATACGGAGGCTCAGACCAATGGGGTAGTTCACATAAAGTCACACAACCTGTACGTGACCCACACCAGAGCTTGCCACCAGGCCCACGCGTGGCCCTGTCAAACGCAGTGCCCTGCCATCTTCCACGTGTTCTTTAGAAGCCTGGGGCACCATTCACGAGAAGCAAACGTGTACCCGAGGCCTGCAAGGGGTGCCCGTCCTCAGTCCTGAAGAAGAGCTCACGTATCAGGTTTCAGCTTTTCCTGGGCTCCGGGGTCCTCTTTTTCCAGACAGAAAACACAGTGGCTGACTTTGCACCACGCAGAACCCACCAGTTAATAGAAGACTGCAAAGACAGAGCTCATGCTAAAAAACACAAAGCCAAGAAAGCAACGGGTCCGTAGAACAAGACGGGCACCTTCTCTGATCCAAACCTCCAATGGGGAAAAATAACCAGAGTGTAGGTGTCACCCAAACCCTCCCTGGCATCTATTTTCCCTGTGGGAACCTCCTCCCTGAAGCCACCGGCACTCTATTGGGAAAAGAAACACGGGCAGGCAAAAAGGATGTCTCCAGCTGCACCCCCAGGAACTGGTCAAGTATTTTCTAGAATATGAACATATTGCTTTTCCGCCTGTCATTCGTTAGCTGGAAGGAAAGGCAAGGAACCTAATTCAGTCTTATTATTCTATCTTATCACCAGGCTGACAAAAATTGGGGGCGTGCGTGTTGGATAGCAAGGCAGCGGGATGGGTTTGTGAATCTCTATGTTTTCACCTATTATGTCTTCTTTCAATCACATCTATCTACATCAACATACGAAACGATCCTATATTTTTAAACCCAAACTTACCCGTTGGGAGCTCAATAAGCCAAGTCCAAAGTCAAGGGAACAAAGCAAATCTCTCTCTTGAAAACAAAATCTCTCTCTTGAAAACAAAACCCCAAACCCCACCATATGCTCTTAGAAGGAGCAGGAGGCACACTGGGATGTTATTAATAACTGGCTCCAAGCTTTAGGAAGAAACATGAGCCAGAACATCCCGGCAGGGGCAAGGGGACAGGACTGACAGACACAGGTGGAGGAAATGACAACAAAATATATTTATACCCACATAGGAGCTCAAATAACCTGGCAGGAATGGATTGGTCTCACCACAAACCACCAGGCCGTATGTCAGCCAGGGGTCCTTACCCAATCACTAATAACAAAGATCCCAGTGTCCTAGCCTCCCGACACACGGCATGGTTCATCCTGGTCTACGCTCACCTTTGTTCTTCAGAATAAGCCTCTTCCAGCTTTCCCTAAATCTCTCTTCAGAAAATGCAGGTTTCCTCAGCGGTAGCTCCCCGGTTTAAAAATATCCAACCAAGGAGATTTTCAAATGTATATGGCCGGATCAATACCAGGCCGGCTTCTACCAGCAAGTGACCTTGAATCTCCCCCACCTGTGCGGAGCTGACCAGAGCTAGCTAAAGCAACTAGCAGCAAGTGCCCTTGAATCTCCCGCACACACCTGTGGAGCTGACCAGAGCTGACTAATGGCCTGCTTTATTCTCGACCTGCCATTCTGCACCCAGCACAGCCCGTTTAGCTCAGTGTCTGCTTTGTTCTTGGCCCACTGCTCTGCTCCCGACATGGCCCATTTGGCTCAGTGCCCGCTTTATTCTCGGCCCACCACTCTGCACCCGGCACAAATACACCCGAAACCAGGAAGACACTTTACATTCCAGAAACCCGGACATACCTGTATCTCCCAATCCCTGACTATTTTACCTTATATGGACTCAATACAACCCAGTCACATGTTCCCTGGCCATATAAGTACCACCCCTATAGCCTGGGGTGCGACTCCCTTGATCCAGACGCTGTGGACCGTGGGACTTCGCCCAGGCTGGGTTTTTCTCCCCAAAAAAGCCTATTTGCTCTAATTCGGCTGATTTGGTTTCTGGTGCCTCTCGACTACCTTACATTGGTGCGAAACCTGGGAGTAAAGACCCGCCTCGGTGGTAAAGGGCCAACTCCCCGCTTCAAGGGACTCTTCTACAACCGAACCTTGAGCGGTCGAGAACGGCATGATCAGTTTTGGACTCGGGTAAGTCCTGCCCCTCCACCTCTCCATCCAAGCCTAACTGTCCTGTGTCGCAGTAGTGCCAGGGATGGCTTTCCACTTCCATTCGGGACCCTGTGACCTGGGAGACGTCTCACTAGCAGGGGACCACCTCCGTTTAGCGTTTCCTCTAACTCTGGGGATGACTTGTCTTATGGGATAACTCTCCGGAGTGTCAGGGCATCATGGGCAATACTGAGTCCAAAACTAATCCTAAGACCCCCTTGGGCGGGCTCCTCCTAAATTTCTCCAAATTAAAATTTTCCCAAAGCTTCCACAGAAAAAAGGCTAGTCTTTCTGTGTACCACTGAGTGGCCTCAATACCCCTTAGACAATCAGTCTAGGTGGCCCTCCAAGAGTACTTTTAATTTTGGCATCCTCACTGACCTGGACAATTTTTGCCACCACTCAGGAAAATAGTCGGAGGTTCCGTACATTCAGGTTTTCTGGAATTTCCAATCCCTCCCCCGTCTCTATGCGTCCAGTGTTCCACCTCACAGGTCCTTTTAGCTAAATCAACTGAAAGGAGCATGGCGGCGAAATCAAAACTTGAAAATAACCCCAACTCTCCCTACCATACCCTAGCACCATCCTCTGTGCTTACTAAAGAGCCACTCTAGGTCTCCCACCTCGACCGATTCTTAATCCTCCTCCTCCCTCCCCGCCTCTGCCGCCCTATGCACAGCCACTCTCCCTCCCTTCGCCATCATCTTCCCCCTCGCTGCTGGACAGCTCCAACCCTCCACTCCGGTCCCGCCCATTTCGCCACCCTCTGTCCTCGCTATCTCCCCTCCTGTGTCAGCGCATACTCGTTCCCACCTCCTGCAGGGGCTGAGGGTGTGCTATGGGTCCAGATTCAGTTTTCTCTCCACGACCTGTCCTAAATCGAAAAGTGCCCTGAAAAGGGTTGCGGTTCCGAAGGCATCCGGGAAGCTCTCGCTGGCCCTTGAAGTCCATGGAAAAGGGTTTAAATCTCGTGCCGACCTTACCCAAATCCAAGGTCTCCGAGGTGAACAGCCTCTGGCATGTTGAAACAATGTAGGTAAGGGAAGTTGGCAAGCTGAATCCGTAACTTCAGAATAAGGATTGGCTGTAAGGACTGGGGCACAAAGCGGGAAGGGTTGCATCTAAAATCGCCGCCGCCGCCACTGCCAGCCCCGCGGTGCCTGGGCCCCTGTCGGGCCTGCAGACCCTGTGACCGATTCCTTCCCCAGCCCGTAGTCCCCACGCGGGGCATCCCGACCCCCACTGAGAAGGAAAAGAAGGAGCCGCGCGCAGAAGCAGGCAGGGTTGGAGAGGACCATGGGGGCGGGCCCAGGCGGGAGTGCCCTGGGTGTAAAAAAAAAAAAAAAACGGCGCCCAGCTCCACTTAAAACTGGTGCGGACCAGGAAAATCCGACTGTTTAATTAAAACAAAGCATCACAAAGGCCCACGGTGGGTGTTGACACGATGTGATTTCTACCCAGGACTCTGAAAGTCAAAAAACGCGGGTAAACAACGGAAGTAACTATAACTTCCTTAAAATAATTAACTCGGAAAAATTAAAGAGGTAACACAGTGTAAGGATAAAAATCCTGCCCTTTTCCTAAACTGCCTTCAGGAGGCCCTGACCCAGTTTACAAAACTGAACCCCCTCCAGGAGGCACTCGCCCAGTTTACAAAACTGGACCCCCAAACCGCTGCCGGGGCAGCTGATGACCTTCCACTTTATCTCTCAGTCTGCTCCAGATATAATAAAAAAATTTTAAAGCAGAGAAGGGACCACAAACCCCATTACAGGATCTGGTAAAAACGGCCTTTACAGTCCTTAACTCCCCAAAGGAAGTGGCTGAATCAGCCCGGGACAGTCCAGATTACAACAAAAGGTGGCCCTCAACCCAGGTTCTGGTAGCTGCCCTAAAGCTGGCAGGGGAGGGGCCGAAAGATCCTCACACAAAACGGGATGCAACCCTGCCAGGGGCTTGTCTTAAGTGCAGTAAGGATGGACATTGGGCCCGCCAATGCCCAAACCCCCAACCAACCACCAAGCTGTGCCGCCAGAAAGGGTACTTGAAGTCTGACTGTCGCTCGCTCGCGGGCTTCCCCCTGCTGTCCCAACAGCGGGGGTCAGCCAGAGCCTCATTACAGTCCTTCCCGGCTGGTGAGCTTCTGGGGCTTGCTGATGAAGACTGATGATTCCTGCACTCGGATACCCCAATAACCCTAGCTGAGCCCAGGGTCACCATCTAGGTAGCGGGTAAGTCCCCCTCTGGTTTATTGGACACGGGAGCTATTCCATCCTTCCTTCGTATGCCAGGCATAGTCTCCCTTCCACAGCCACTGTAATGGGGATTGATGGCTCCTCCTCAACGCCCAATCAAACCCCTTCTTGCTCTGCGTCTTAAACCAATGCCCTTTCTCCCATTCATTCCTAATAAGCCTCTCGTGTCCTGCTCCATTGCTCGGATTAGACATTTTACAATGCCTTAAAACCTCCATTTCCCTAATACCTCAGCAGTCTCATGCTGCCCATCTCCTTTTTGCCGCTGTAGCCACCTTGGGTCCATATGCTCCTCCCAGAGCAATATTCAGCCTCCAAAAACCTCCACCACTTCTGTGGGCACCTCCCCGGTGAGAACTGGACAATCAATTTTACGCACATGTCTAAACATAAACATCTTAAATATTTGTTAACTTTGGTAGATCCCTTTTCAGGGTGGATTAAAGCATTCTCTACCAGCCGGGAAACAGCAGGTGCTGTCGCTCAAACTTTCCTAAAATCTATAATCCCTAGGTTTAGCCTTCCACACTCTATCCAGTCTCACAATGGCCCAGCCTTCATTTCACAGGTGTCCCAACAGGTCTCAGTCACCCTGGGAGTGGCTTGAAAACGACATAGTCCTTATCGCCCCCAGTCGTCAGGCAAGGCTGAGCGTGCCAACGGACTTATAAAGTCCCAGTGAACTAAGCTCTCCTTAGAGGTCCGCCTCTCTTGGCCAGATCTCCTTCCTGTTGCCTTAACCGGCCTCCGGGCTTCCCCCAGGAAGCCCACGGGTCTCAGCCTGTTTGAAATTCTATACGGCCGTCCATTTGTCCTAAACTATTCTCTGCCTCAGAATGAAACTCCACTTTCAGCTTGCTTGCCCATGCTATCTTTGCTCCGCAATCTACTCAGGTCCTATGCAGACCAACACCTTCCGGACATTAAACAAAAAACAACACACACCTCTTCTGGGCACCCAATCCTTAACCTCTCCCCAGGAAACCAAGTCCTAGTAAAAACTCACCCCGTGCCTGGCCCTGGACTCCTGCCACGGTGGAAAGGACCATACACCATAATACTCACTACCCCATCGGCAGTCAAACTGGTATAACTGAGGGGTGGTATCATCTGACGTGGGTCAAGCAAGCACCCCTGAAACCCAAACCCACTTAAAACAAGTAAACTTCTAACTTCATTGGTCCAACTTCACCCTGCCTAACTAAAACCTCCCCCTAAATAATTTCGGCATGCCTTCTCCTCTTTTTATTTTTTACCCCCTTATTATGTTTTTGGAATAAGCCTTGCAGCAACCGCTCCGGCCAATTGAACCACTGATCAAAAGGTCTGTTTGGACTCAGTTATGCTGCAATTTGTTCCTGTTTCTTCCTCTTCAGGTGTTGGCTTCCGTAAGCACGGAAATGCGGTACATGGAAAAGCGGTCACCCAGCCACCAATGGCAGTTAATAGTTACCGAAACCTGGGCTGATGATTCGGGAACCCATTCGCAGGTTATAGGTAAAAAGTATTGTCAGCCTGAAGGCTGCCAATCTCTGGTGTTGGTTCCTGTAAAACCTTTCACTGCACTCCCCTATGTGGGCCCACCCCTCCTTTGTTTCCTGTATGACCAAACCAAATCTAGCGGTTGCAGTGCTAAATGGGTAAAAGAAAATGGAGGCTGCCCATGGAATTCCTACGTGATGCACAAATACAAAACGGATCTGGAAGAAAAGCGGAAACAAAAGTATCGTCTCATCAGTAACCATCATAACGGTACTTTTTAAATCAACATTCCTGACCCATGGAACACTCGCTGGCAGAAAGGTGTCCCAGAAAAAAACTACTGGTATCCGGTTTCTCTTACCCTTATCAATCTATATATATCTATCGTGCTTATGTATACACTGGCTGGCCGATCAAACCCGGCTAATTCAAAAAGCCCAACAAGAACTTCATAAACAGGTTATAGGACAGAGGTCCAAGGGAAAACCTTTTTCTTGGCTCACCGTTATCCAAGAAGGGGCAGCCCTTCTTAACAATTCTAACCTGGTTAATCTTTCCTCTTGTTTCCTTTGTGCTGCCCTCCATAGGTCTCCTCCGGCACCTGAAACCTTACATTCCAGAAACCCGGACATGCCTGTATCTCCCAATCCCTGACTACTTTACTTTATATGGACTCAAGACAGCCCAGTCACATGTTCCCTGGCCATATAAGCACCACCCCGATAGCCTGGGGCACGACTCCCTTGGCCCAGACACTGTGGACCGTGGGACTTTGCCCAGGCTGGGTTTTTCTTCCCAATAAAGCCTGTTTGCTCTGATTCGGCTGATTTGGTTTCTGGCGCCTCTCGACTACCTTACAGTCAGCGTTTTCAAGTGTGATTGTTGTTATGAACTGCTATCCAGTCCATTCAGGTGCACAGCCACACCTTAGGACAGAGGCCTGCTGCCTGACAGGGTTTTCTAGCTATAATGTCTATATGGGAGCAGATTGCAAGAGCTTTCTCCAGCGAAGCCCCTGCTGGGGTCAAACCTCCGAACTTGTCTCCAGAAGCCAGGTGCTTAATCATTGTGCCATCTGGGCTCCTTGAATCGGCTCACTTACATCACTATCAGCCTCCCTTCCTTCCTGGTGGAGGGTGGGGCATTCCCAAAACGAATCCTAGAAAAGCTTCCCATAGGGGTTTGGGGCATGGATCTTGGGACTATATCGTATATAAGTTACAACCTATAGAATTAAACGGAGATGTCTCTGTGGCCAGCCCTCTTGTTTACGGCGGTTGTTGTTCCCCATCTTTCCCCCTCAGAGCAGCTGGTCATTTTGAACTGCAACCTTGAAGTTGGCAGCCCACCTCGTAACCACAATGCCACCAGAACTTTTTGGAAAAAATCCATATTATCAAAAAAATTCTGTGTGACATCAAATTGCTAGACTAGTGATCGCCTGTCTTCAGGCCCAAATGATATTTAACACCACCCCTACCTGTCTCTCTGAAGTGTTAGGAGAACATTAATGATTACCCAAATATCATTGAAACAAGAAGGGAACGGCGTCCTTCTAAAGGCTTTGCTACCTGTCCCCCTGCTTCAGGATTGGGAAGCTCTTTCTTCAGAGGGCAAAGTGAAACCCAGCCAGTGGGAAGGAGGCAGTCCTCCTGGAAACCTCAAAGAGTGGCGTATTGTTCTGCCGAGGCCAGAGTTAGAGAGAGAAACTAACAAACTGAAGGCCACCAGTGTGATGGCTAAGGGAGAAGCAGTCAAGTTGAGCACAGGGTCTTCAAATATTTTGATTTTTTCACACCTCTGGTCAGTTAAAGAAATTTGAGTCTGCACTGAGTCTATCTATGTTGATCTAGATATACTTGTGTCCTATTATAAACATATCAAATACATCAGAAAGCACAAAGAGAAATTTGTAAAATATGAAATGAGAATGGATGTGCTAAGATTGCCTTCCACGTTCCTTTTCAGGTCCCTGGGGCTTGAGTCCTTCACTCTGAGGACCACTAGGGAATTGCTAAGAATCCTCCTCCACTACTTAGCAGCTATGTATTCAACCAAAACCCAATTCACTGTCATAGTGCCGATGGAAGAGCTGGGACTCCTTCTTTGATCCCAGAGAAAACTGCTCTAACAAAATTATACCCAACGCTGGTCAATGTCTATAGAGGTAAAAGCATTCTCCCATCGTCTACGATAAGGAATATGGAACCCAGACTGAAGGAAAATGATGGAGTAGCCGAGAAAGAAAGTGTAGTGACTAAATTTGCCTCCCCTAACTACTATCACCATCTCTCTCTCTCTCTTTCTCTTAACCAATTGAGGGTCACCTCTGACTCCTCAGGATTCGCAAGCAGCTCTCGTGCTGAAGATCCTGTCTACCTTCTTTCTTTTCTATGTGGGACACATTCGAACAAAATCTAGGGAGCGGTGTCATTTGGTGGTAGAACACTCGCCTTGCAGGCAGAAGAGCCAGGCTTGATTTTGAGCCAATGCACCTCATGCACAGCCAGCACACTGTCAGTGGAGTCTTGCACGCTGCGGTGCTGCTGAGCCATTTCAGAAGAGCTTCCAGACTAAGATGGACTAGAAAGAAAGACCCGGTCCTCTACTTCCAAACACTCAGCCAACAAAAATGCCGTGGATCACAATGGTCTGTTGATAGGGAGGGCACAGGCTCAGGCAGCATCTCATCCCGTTGTGTATGAGGTCACGATGGACCAGAGGCCAGCTCGATGGCAATGACAAACACAGAAACAGAAGGATCTTGCATCTTCTCATCCACCCTCTGAACTTTACTACATACGAGGAACAGGGGCCTCCTTGTGCCAGGCCCAGTGAGAGCGAGATGAACAAACCTCACCGAACAATTTCTCCAAACCTTGGTCCCTTGGGTGACATCTTTGATTTTTAATATTTGTCGTTTGGTGGTTAACCAAAGAAATCTTTGGCATCAGATTTTCCCAAGGGAATACATTGTTTGATTTCTTTGTGATGTTATTTATAATTTATTATGATTCACCCAGACACCTTTGCATCTGTCGTCCATAAGACAAGAGTGACCACCTTTCTATTCCCTGCTCTCCGCCCAGACTCCTTTGCCGTCAGCCATGATAGAGCCTTGTGCCATAGCCTCTTCGGACGATCGTGGACATTAGTCCTGGGGAGCCCAGGTGATGCCCTTAGGGAAACAATGGACGGCTAACTACAAGGTCATAGGTTCAAACCCACCAGCCGCTGCGCAGGTAAAGGGGACGATCTGCTAGTGTAAAGATTAGAAACTTAGAAAGTTTACACAGGGCCCCTACGAGTAAGAATCGACTCAGTGGCAGTGGATTTGGTGTTTGGGTGGGGAGGGTGCTGATGAGGGGGTACACGTGACGCCTGCTCCTGGGAAGTCTTTGGAAGAGCACAGAGGAGGGCGAGGTAAGTGGCTTGGTTTTTTTAATCATTTTATTAGAGGTTTGTACAACTCTTATCACAATCCACACATACACCCACTGTATGTCAAGCACATTTGTACATTTGTTGCCATCATCGTTCTCAAAACATTTGCTTTCTAATTGAGCCCTTGGTATCAGCTCCTCATTTTTGCCCCTCCCGCCCCACCCTTGCTCCCTCACAAACCCATGATAATTTATAAATTATTATTATTTTGTAATGTCTTACACCATCCAACGTCTCCCTTCATCTACTTCTCTGCTGTCTGTCCCCCAGGGAGGAGGTTATATGTAGATCCTTGTAATCTGTTCCCCCTTTCTCCCTCACCTTCCCTCTACCCTCCCGCTATGGCCACTCTCACCACTGGTCCTGAGGGGTTCATCTGTCCTGGATTCCCTGTGTTTCCAGTTCCTATCTGTGCCAGTGTACATCCTCCAGTCCAGCCGGATTTGTAAGGTAGAATTGGGATCATGATAGTGGGGGGGGGGGGAGCATTCAATAACTAGAGGAAAATTGTATATTTCATCATTGCTACACTGCACTCTGACTGGCTTGTCTCCTCCCTGCAGCCCTTCTGCAAGGGGATGTCCAATTTCCCACAGATGGGCCCTGGGTCCCCACTCCTCACTCCCCCTCATTCACAATGCTATGAATTTTTTTTTTGTCTTTGATGCCTGATACCTGATACCTTCAATGCCTTGTGTTCTCACAGGCTGGTGTGCTTCTTCCACGTGGGCTTTGTTGTTTCTCAGTTGTTTATCTTCCAGCCTATAGGACCCCAGATTCTATATCTTTTGAGGTAAGTATTTAGTAGTGTTTTTAAATCACGCTAAAGACTCCACACAATAGCCAAGATGGGACTATTACTTCTAACCAAGGGAGAGATGCAGCCAACTTGAATTACGATAGATTACTTGGCAGCTCTGACTGCGGAGAAAGGATTCCTTTGTAACACCTGAGGCCAGCAATGGAGCTGAGAACCCAGTTCACCCAATAGGCCTGTGAGGTCCGAGAAGGGACCTGCGGCAGGGGTGGAGAGAATCAAGCCGGATTAAATAACACTTAACCGGTAAAACGGGCAGGTTTTAGTGACTTGGATAATGGGGTGGGGGAGCGATTGAAAGAAAGACAGCATACTGCCCAGATTCCAGAGTTCAGTGGATCAGGAAAAGAAGGTCCAGGAGCTTGTGAACACCTCCTGAAATGCCCAGAAACAGCAGGGCTGTCCGGGTCGCAGAGGCCTGGAAGCCCTACCTCGCACCTGCTGTATGCATGTCCTGCCATACCTCTCTGCAGCTGGAGAATCCGGCCCTTCCCAGGAATGCATTGCTGCCTTTGACCGTAACTCTTAACCCTTAAAGACAATCAACTAGAAAATGTCTGACCCTGTGGGACAGAGAGGATACTTTTGAATTTCTGGGCATTCCACCCCAGTAGTAATAAATTGAAACTGTCTACCATCACCAACCCACACCCCGCCACCCTCCCTCCCCACTACACACACACACCCAATGGAATCAATTCCTAGTCACAGAGTCTCTGAGGCTATCCATCTTTACAGGGCCGATAACCTCACGTTTCTCCCCAGGAGCATCCGATGGGTTTGACTCTCAGACCTTCCCGTGAACACATCAAGACCTGCCCCCACTTGTTATAACACAAGCTGCACACACATGAGGACTCTACTGCTAAGATCCATTTGTACTGCTGGAGCCAGAGTCCTCCTGTCCACTTTTCAAACTTAAGTTACTAAGCATATAAAATAAAATCAATATCACTATCATCAATAGAATAAAAATAATAGATATAAGAATAAAATAAAAAGCTCTCACTGTATTTAAACTATCCCCCACCCACCCCCACTACCACCACCCACTACCAATTCTGTTTCAAAGAGCTTGTTGGGTTTTTCATTGTGTTTAGTAGAACGTGCCTTGATAAAAATGTGTTCATTGAAGGGGTGAGTGAACTTGGTTAAGAAAATTCAAGGAAGCCTCGGACAATAACATTCAAGAAGAACCCTCAGAGCCATAGAAAGAGTGGTCATTGAACTCTGGATTCTCACACCCTTGGCATGACAATAGAATCTGTGAGAAGCCTGTGCCTGTTTTTTTCTGAGCGAAGTACACAGAATCCCATGTGAGTAAAGCTTTGTTGAAGGGAGGCTGGCTCTTCACAGAAAGTAAGGGAAGGTACTGGCAATGTGTAAACCAAGGACTTTCCTTCAGCAATAATATTTACAAAGATACTCACTTCCTGTCTTTAATCACCACCACCCCTTCTTCCCTAAGGAGAGAATGGCTTCAGAGAAGTAGGGTGTAGCAGGGAGGGCCTGACACAGCTGTCCAAAGTCCCTGGCCCATCTGTTTCCATTTGGACC